ATTTTAAACACGAGAGAAAAGTGTGAAAATGTTAATGCCTGTCTGAAAAAAAAGTGTATAAAGTGTGCAGTGAGGGGTTTTACAGCCTTAACACAACTATAATAATTGTCAAAAATAAAGCGGACTACTTCACAGATTTCAAGGGTTATTATTAGAATGTAATTCCTGCAATAAACAAGGGACCACTGTATTTTAAATAATTATAATATTTTTTATTTTAATAATAAACAAATTCAATCAAAATATATACTACATTATCACCAAAATGTAAAAAAAAAAACTGTTTTGTTCTCTTAATAAAGTTATGCAAAGCCAAATTAAGTTTCATTTAAACCATATATATAATTAAAAAAATAAACTAAATTCTAAATCGAGTCTAATTCATGCATATATGCTGATATGAGTGTATACTATTTAAATCAGGGGTGCCCAAACTTTTTCATATAAATGGCCAAAAACCAAATATCACTGAGAGCCGTGGGCCAAAGGTAAATATACCAAACTATATTGCAATAAAGCTGCCATGGTTAATTTCCCCATTTATTTTATAATATTTCAAAATAAAAAGAAAACATTACTTTAAATAGTTTTAACTAATGCAGAACAACTTTTGAAATAATAACATTTTACAATAAAACAATCACATTTATTACACAGTGAAGTTCAATACTGAATACAGTAGTCGAGCAGAATCTCCCTTCAACTTGATTTGCTCACCAAAGTCTCTGCATTGTCAGGTGACGGTATGTACATTTTAAACAAAATCTGATTCATTGACACAATTTAATTGAAACATTTAATTTTAGTTAGCCTTTAGCTATAAAACAAACAAACAAAGTGTTACATTACATTTGAATTGACAATCTCAAAACCATTCCCATCATTCTCTCTCTTCTCAGATAAGATGGCGGGCCAAATCAAAGGTTACCATGGGCCAACTTTGGTCCTAGTTTGGACATCTCTGATTTACAGTAAATTAAAACTAAAGTCAGTTTTGTCATCTTCATAATATTAGATTTGTTAATAGATCACATTTAAAAGTATTATAATAATATAATTTGTTTGTTTGTTTGTTACACAAATTGATGCTTAATGAGCTAAATTGGCCATAGTGTATGAGTGTGTGTGAGAATGTGAGAGTGTATGGGTGTTTCCCAGTACTGGAAGGGCATCTGCTGTGTAAAACATATGCCAACGTAGTTGGCGGTTCATTCTGCCATTGTGACCCTTGATAAACTGATCAAAGGAAAATGAATGAATAAATGTATCTTGATGCTTTTTGGTTTAACAAGTCCCCCTGATAAGACTCTGTGTGTTCCAGTGCGGTGTTTCCCTGGACCAATCTTCTGGTGGTGGTGGTGGAGCTGGAAGGTTCAGAACAAGAGGCTTTGGACCTTGTTCCTCTAGTGACCAATGCAGTCCTGGAAGAGCATTATCTGATTGTAGGTGTAGTGGTGGTGGTGGACATCGGCGTCATTCCCATTAACTCTCGTGGAGAGAAACAGAGGATGCACCTGCGGGACGGCTTTCTGGCCGACCAGCTGGACCCAATCTATGTGGCATATAACATGTAGCATGAGTGTACGCGTGTATGTTTGCGTGCGTGTGTTTTGCCGACTGCACATGACCAGTTGGGCGAACTTCCGCGAACGGACACTTACTGGGAGAAACTTTACAACAAAAAGCCAAATGGAAATTCTCAATTGGCAAAAGGATTCGGTCTCCCGATGGGAAGAAGAATCGCCTTTGCTTCTGCTTGTGTGCGTCGCGCTTTGTTTTTAAGTGAGGTGTTGCGACATCTTTTGTTTTTACTCTGCCCTACACGAGCGAAGGGTATTTTTAAATATCTGCATACCGTGGCGAAATGTGCATTTTAAGTTTACAAGTTTGCCGACAATTTGGAGTTAACTTGTTGAAAGAATAAGTAGGCTAATTTCAGACACTTCATTTAAAAAAAAAAAAAAGAAAAAGGTACGACTTTGGTACGTACGTCGCTGCCATCCTTCTGCAATTGTTTTTCAACCTTTGTAAATGTCCTCGAATAGCAGGAAGCAAAAAACAAAAAGCGAAAATACGTCCCCTGCTTTTTCGATTCCTCCATGTTTAATAACATTGTACAAAGCTGAAGGCGAACACAAAGTCAGTTGATATTGTGTAATTATGTACAGATAATAGTTCTTATTTATTTTGCTCTTTTTAGAATCGGTGAGCGAAGACATTTGGAAATGTTTTCCTCATTAAATAATATTGCTGATATAAAACATTGTATCATCTTGAGTGAGTCGTATCACATCAAGTCTATGTAAAAATATAAATATACATACAAATATATATATAAAAAAAGAAATCTATATATATATATATATATAAAATAAGATCTACGAATCACCAATGAAACATTTCTAATGCAGTACTTCCCACTTGCATGGTGTCTGTTGTAGAGCGAATCAACTGACCAATCAAACGTTACCCGATACTAATAATACAAACTCTTAAGATGATGTCAAACGTGTGTAGCCGGAACTATAAAAATAACGCCCTTATCAAGAGAAAACCCTCAAAATGTGCCTGGAATTTTGTTTACATTTGCTTTTCGATTTAAATCTACACCGTATTTTGCTTTTTTACTTGTTTTTTTTAATCATTACGTGTGATTTTATCATTATTTATTGACACAGGCTCTTTACACAAGTGCGTTTTTGTTTACCGCTCATATTTTCACATACAACGTTTCAATCTTTAGTATTTACGTAGTATTTACCTTTGAACCCCTATCAGCTGATGTGGAATATGCTCTTGTTTTTAATCGGATTATGTGGGAAATACATGCTAAGTAAACGCCGGCATATTGTTGGCACATGCAATATGGGCAAAGCATGAAAACGTGAGCGACTGGCTATAACAGCACAAACAAATCGAAGAGATAATAAAGAGAGCCGTGCCATTGTTCTCCATTCTACCAGCTGCATTAGAAAGGACGTGTTTTCCGAACGCCTATTCCATCAAATCCGTTAACGACGAAACTGAATATTGAGGATTTGATTCTTTTTCTTTGCCGCATCCTGCCTCAGCGATCGATGATGGGCATCAGATGATAATCGTGGAGATCTACTGCAGATATCACACCCTTTGGCCTCGCCGAGGTCTGTTTTTAGTTTTATTTTTTAGAATCGGTGTCATAGACGTCAATACTGTGTATGGGAACTGAGTTTACACTTATTCCGAGAGTGACGATGCAATGTTCGCTTATTTTGACGTTTGTTTTTTTTAAGGAAAAAAATAATAATATGAAGGAAAGAAGAAGTCTTAAGCTGTTCAGAAGCTTTAGTGTTGCCATTCCCATACAAGCGGCCATTTTAAAAAGGAAAAAAAAAACGTGCACATAAACTTTCAACCTGTGAAGTTTTTCTCCCTTTTTTTTTGTTGGAAATCTGGACGTGAGAGAGTCTGCATGGTGTATGTAAATATTGTTGGTTAGCGGAAAAAAAAGACAAAAAAACAATTTATTTTGTATGGTGCAGGTGTGTTTGAAATTCTGTTTTGTACACATGATTAAAAGTATTAAATGACACTTTTATAGAAGCCTGCTTTGGCCTACGTTCACAAAATATGGTGCAATAAAGTGCTTTGATTGGTAAACTTGTCATTTTTAGAAAACAAAAAGCGCTAAACTATTACCGGTTGATATGTTTTATTTATACATAGTACTGTTACATAATGAAATGCAAGAAAAGGGAAACGTTTACACCACATTTTAACTCGTATGCACATGTAAGACAGATGTTCGTATAGCAAACTTCTCTCTGGGTGTCGGAAATTCTCAGTAGTCATTATTCTGTCCGCATAAATATAAGTTAAAAATGAAATTTGCATTTAAAAAAAGGGTTACTTGGCATTACAAAGTGGTGTCAGATTACCCTAGAAAACCAAAAAGACATACTGCATCACCGATGACACGCAAGATTAAAATTAGGTACACACAACCTGATTTCATGCACACTGGAATGGAACAGATTACCGTTAAAACCACAAATATTGTTGTTTTTTTTTCCTTTACAGACTGACTTTATCAAATACACAGTCGATGCGTTCATGAAATGTACAGATGCTAACGTGCAAACGTCATCAGTCAATGTTAGCGGCAAACAGTTATTTACATGTAGTGCAACGGTGAGGTTGGGAAGGGAGCGAAAGAGAAACAGAAACCTGGATGTATCAGACTTGATTTAAGACGCATCCAGAACTTAAGAGAGAAACAGAACAAAGGTGCGCGCGCAAGTATGGTCCTGTGCGAAAACCTCACATTTTCCCCTACATCCTTCAGCTTAGACAAAACTCTAAAGATAGATCTTACTCATTTGTACTTAGAATTTCTTATTGCAATATTTAAAGGTATATTAATCCACCTCAAAATTCTAATTTTAGCATTTACTCCTCATCGTGTCATTCCAAACCTGCTCTTTTAATGAAAAACACAAAAGGAGAATCTTAGTAGTGCGTTCAAGCTGCTCTATTTCCATAAAATGAAAGCGGATGGAGTCTAAGTGCAGAAATTTTCATAGAGCAGCACTTAATATCAGGTTTGGAGCGGCTTGAGGAGATTTTTAAATCATTTTTAAGTTCAAAAAGTGCCACAACTCTCGGTGATAAACCCCTATAGAGATAATTTCTGATTGTTTACTTTACACTGATCTCTGTACAATCTTAAGTCTGATTTCAATGTTGCAATATAAAATCGTCAGGTTTCGTTCATTCTTCCTTAAAGGACTGGTGATATTTCTCCACGCTTCACTAAGATTTAGTATGCAATCTACAGAAATGGACCCTAAAATTAGCACATCATTTAGTTTTTCGTTACTAATGAAAAGGCCTATTAAAAGGTGTATCCATGAAATGTGCATATTCATTAATGGAAGATTGTATCGTTCAGACAGACATGACTTGCCATCTTTAAACCCTGTTCCCCAAAGAAAAGAAAAAAAGACATTACAACTACTGATTAAAAACCAACCGTCGAGTTTAAAAGCACCAACTTCACCATCTCAATGCAAGAGGCTGACATTATTCGCTCATATAAAAAAGTCAAATATCTACATAGCTTCAGATTAAGTTGTGTTTAAAAAGATAACTAGTACTTCACATTTCAGCTAGTCTGTCTTGTAAGCGAGCAAGGCTGATTTCTGTCGTACAGCAAACAAAAAGGTAAAACCGAAAAAGGGATATGCGAAAAGAAAAAGGATACCGTTAAAATCAACCTCCGCAAAGATTGTGCAATCCCGCACTGGCTTGCCCTGTTAGCATTCATCGCAACTCAGCAAAATGTCCCCGATAAAAGTGTTCTGTGGAGCTGGGTTTAAGATGCTGGCTACAAATCAAGAATCCGTGGGCAGGGGGGAGGGTGGGAAGTGTTAAAATCTACCCAATAGCGTGTCTCGTGGTGGGTGGAGTCAAGAGGAAAGGGCGTGTCCTGCTGTAGCTCATCTCTTCCGGCGGCAGGTACGTTTGTGATCGGCGTGCCAGTGCTCCTGCTGGCATTTGATGGAGCAATATGACGTGTTCCAGCAGCAGTGGTACATGGCCTCTTCTTCACAGTTATAACACTGAAACGGACAATAAAAGAGATATTATTGAGACACAAAAACACCCACAAGAGCTGTCAAGTAAAATGTATTCCTGAACTTCCGCAGCTTTGGTTAACCAGTTTAGATCACTTCCACATTTGTGTAGTAGGAGGGAGGGTGTGCTGGTATCACATACAGTTCCTGGATGACCACAACTCTGCACAATTTAGATTCAGCACACCTGCTCAAACTAATTGAGCCCTTGAGGCTTGTTTGAAACCTACAGGTAGTGTGCTGAAGCAGGGTTGGAACCAAACTGCAGAGCTGCGGCCCTCAAGGAACTAGATTTGACACCTGTGTAGGTGCCTGATTAGATGGAAAACTGTAGTGCAGGTTGAGACATATCTTAGGGTAATTTTCCCAGAAGAAACAAAAACATCTAAATGTATGTGTTCTTCTGATAAATATGAATTTTGTTAGAGCTTTGGAACACACACACCTATTTAAAATCTATTAAATTTCAAAGCTAATATACTGTGTATTGACCAAAACAGTGTTGCTCAACCACATTCCTCAGGGACTATCGGCTCTGCACATTTTCCATGTCTCCTTAACCAAACACACCTGATTCAGATCATCAGCTCATTAGCAGAGACTGAAAGACCTGTAATGGGTGTCAGACAAAGGAGACATCCAAAACATGCAGTGTTGGTAATCCTCCAGGAACGTGGTTGAGAAACACTGGACTAAAAGACTCAAAACTATTACCTCAAGAAGTATTTTAATAAAAAGATGTGCTTTTTTAGGCTAAAAACTAAAATAATACCTAAATCTACAGAAACTGCATTGTAAAACCTAACAGTGAACATTACTAAATGAAATAAGTTAGTTTAACCTAATAATTTAAAAAAGTTACTTTGACCTAATGAAAAAGAGTTTCAGAGACTCATAAACTGATTATATTATGTAGAACTCAAATGAGTTATGAATGAGTTATTCACATTTTGTGTGTTACCTTAAATGCTAGAAGCAATACCAAGCCAGCTGAGTAGCTAGTTCTTTGGACTTGATTTGTTCTTTTTACTGAACTTGATTTGATAACAGAACGTAAAATGTTTAAGTAACTTATTCTCTAAACATTTGATGATATCAACGCAAATAGATGTTTATAGCTATTTTTCTTATTACTGTAAGTTTACAGTACTCCAAGTTTAGTTCTCTTACAGTACTAAAACATTTTGTTTCAAAACTTAAGTAGTTTGCCGCAACCAGTTTCCTTAGTTTGAGTTAACTTATCGGGTTTTGCAGTGTACATATTAAATTTAGAAAAGTAATTCAAGCAGTTGTTTAAATTGAAAATTTTTACATTTAAATTATTTTAAATCAAGACAATAGAAACGGTTTGCAAGTTCTAAGTATGTTCTGGATATGTTCCGGTTTATTTCTGGTTTTGTTCTGGATTTGTTTGCATTTAGTTATTGTTATGTTCTGGGTTAGTTCTAGCAAGTTATTAATTAATCGCCTAACTGACACATTTAGTGTGTTAACTTACAACCAATATCCCTAATCTTCATATATTTTATAAGACATTCCAGCCTTTATTTACATGAATTGCCGCTAAGACTTGTTATAACATAATTTCATGCGTATTTCATCGCGAAACCCACTGACCGGAAGTTCTGTGCGCGCCCTTTTGCAAGTACACCCGTCTGCAGCCCGCAGATCGGGGCGGGGCTGAATATGGGGCGGAGCTGAATGTGCAGCCCCGCCCATAAATGGGCGGTACTGAACATGTCACTCCGCCTACAAGTCTTTCATTGGTTCACGGAAACAGACGTTGATGTAATGTATGCTTTCGATTCCGGTTTTCATCTCTGCATGGTAAGTATTCATCTTCTGTCATGTAAATGGTCAAATTATAGTGCAGTACACCTCACGTATTATGTGTCATTTATTTAATTAAATGCCTTTAAGGAGATATGAAGTTTTAAAGCCTTAAAAAAAATGTTTTCTGTGTTAGGGTTGGCGTTTTCCAGGTTGATCGTACAGTTGGTGGTTTTATTCACTTAGAAGAATAATGTAAACTTTAAAGAGTTTGGAGCAAAACAGTCCATCACATGAAGTTTATTAATATCAAAGATAACAAAATAAATTTTTCTTTGTGGCATGTTCTCTAATTTATATACTCTGGTAATGTTAATGCTAAATATGTAAAATATAAAACTTGATTCTTAACTTACTGATCTATACTACATTCTGTTTGCAGATCATTGGCATTGATATATATTCATCACTATGATTCCTGTGGAGCATATTCTCTGTTTTATTTTATTTTACCTCAGTTCTTTTTCTCTTTTTGTTTTAATAGATTTGTGCATTTAATTATTTTTAATATATTTATTTACACTTCATGTTCTCTTTTTTTTTTTGTTTACTTTATAACCCATGCATGAAACTTATGCAAAGGGGAATGTGAGGAGGGGACATGCCTAGTATAAACAAATTTAATTCTTTGAGTTTAACTTTAATATACTGTATGTTAAGCGACATGTTGATGATTGTTGGTTATTTTGTACAGATGCCGCCTGAGATCCTGCAGTGTATCCTACTGAGAGTTGTCACACAGGATGGTGATGGGACATTTCTGCAACTCTCACTGACATCCAGGACCTTCTGAGCCATTGTCATTCATTCATTCAATCATTTTTTCGTCGGTTTAGTTCCTTTATTAATCCAGAGTCACAACAGCGGAATGGACCGCCAACTTATCCAGCAGGTTTTTACGCAGCGGATGCCCTTCCAGCCGCAACCCATCTCTGGGAAACATCCACACACACATTCACACACACACTCATACACTACAGACAATTTAGCCTACCCAATTCACCTGTACCGCATGTCTTTGGACTGTGGGGGAAACCCACGCGAAGGCAGGGAGAACATGCAAACTCCACACAGAAACGGCAACTGAGCCGAGGTTCGAATCAGCGACCCAGCAACGTTCTTGCTGTGAGGTGACAGCACTACCTACTGCGCCACTGCCTCGCCGAGCCATTGTCAGTAATCCAAAATTCAAGAAGCAGGCTGTGTGTGTGTGTGTGTGTGTGTGTGTGTGTGTGTGTGTGTGTGTGTGTGTGTGTGTGTGTACACATGATAAAGAGTACAGAATATGCCAAGCACTTTTTACTGCAGATTGTTACTTTAATGCTGTAGTGGAATTTCCCTGTAAAAAATATATAATTGTTTTTATGTGTATTAAAGATAATGATCACAAACTGCTGTATCTTAAATTATTATAATTATTTTCTATAAATTGTCAGTCTTTCTGTTGTACATGTGTGCATGTGCATACACAGATGTTCTGTAGGTGAGACATCTGACATCTAAAAAAACACAGATCTGCCAGATTTTTACTTGAACCGAGAAAGAGGGTCTTTCAACTGACTGTATTGCTGTGTGTTGGTGTTTTTACTGAAGATGAAGTTGGTATTTATTTATTAGGATTTGTCAAATAAAAAAAATCAGAAGTTTACACGAGTGCTGCACTTATTAATGTCAAATTTATTTTCAAAATTTGTGTCCTGATAGATAAGTAATAAATAAGACTGGCCATTTGTGCCACACTATTAATATAATACTAAGTGTATTTAATATTCTAATGAAATGAAATAGAATAACAATGTTGTATGTGACTCTTAATAACCAAACAAAATCATTATAAAAAATATTTGTAAAAAGATCTACAGTGCAGAAATGGACACAAAACGGTTGTTAGAAAGTGGTATTAAAGTATTTACACTGTATTTACAAATAATACAAAAATAAAACCAAGAAGACTGCATTTTAATTCAGTAATATTAGATTATGAAATTTTTTTTGTAACTTATTAATTAAATTGTAGAACAGATATTAAAACCACCCAGTAGGTGGCAGCAGAGCACTGTCTTCATTCAAATGGAGTAACTGAACAAAACTTTAATGGATTAGTAAATAATAAATATTGAAATTGATTGCATTCATAGATGACACACCATGTAATATGAAAAAAATTCATAAAAAAATTTACTCATGCTGGAACATTTACATATAACAGATCATATACATGTATATTCATAGCAGCATCAAAGTAAAAATAAATCCATTATATGATGAAATAATCTGATTTAATAAGTAAAAAGTTTACAAAGATATACTTCCCTTAATAAATAATAGCTTATCCCTGCTCTTAATAAAACTCTAAGCAGTGCAGTATTAAAAGAGAAACAATTGGACACATGCCCAATATTTTTAATAGCCTTAAATCAAAGTATAATTTTAATATTTTCAATTGTAAATTTTCCAGAGATCTCTCCCATTCAAAGGGAAAAAATTAAACTGAACTAAAAACACTGAATTTTTATTTATTTATTTTTTCAGACTCCGTCTTTATTTGCTATAAATATGCAATATGCATTTGCATTTTGAAGCAAAATAATAAACCATTAAAATATCAGAACTAAAATCACTGCGTTTCTGAAGTGACACCATTGTGAAAAGAGTCTTTTGAGTCTTTTGTAATATTTTTTAGCAGGAAAAATACCATTATGAAATTCACATAACTGTTAACATAATTAACATATAAAACACTCATCAAGAATGCCCACTTTTGTGCATTTTTGTGTTTATTAACAATAAAAACAATATTTAAGAAATTGTAAATGCATTTCCTGTTTACTGACACCACGTAGTGGGCATTCACGCTATTACGTTTCCACTAACCAATGAAATTACAGGTGGGCGTGGCTGAATGTGCAGCCCCGCCCCATATTCATCCCCGCCCAGATCTGCGGGCTGCAGACAGGGGCTTCTCCCCTTTTGTCGCCTGAAGAGAGCGCGCGTAAGTCTTCCGCGAATCCTATTACGCTTCAATAACTATTTTGATATCATGTATATCCCGCTCTTTATTTCACATTCACTCGTGTTTTTATAGCGTGTATACTTAGCATTAAGTTATAAACATGGTGCTAAATACCACCTGTAAATACAGTTCAGAAATATATAAATATTTCAACACAAACAAACGGCACAGCTCGAGGATTAACGTTGCCTTCTAGTGAACAAAACCATGGCTACCCAAACACAAGGTAATATTTCAGAGCTTCACTAAATGCTCTGGTTCTGAAAGTTTCTTAATTTATTGGGTAAAATAGTCAGGGTTGCCAAATAAATCCCGTTTTGTTCATCGACAGAAGAACAACACGACGGCACATCACGGTTATTGACTCAGTAATTGCTCTTCATTTCCTATTTCTGCACTTGGAGCGGAAACATTTCCCAGTAGTTCAGGTGAGTAATAAGCTGGAGAACTATTTCTCATCTCCTAGCAACTGCTAGAAGCTATAAATAGATGGTATATACAACAACATAGTGGGTAAATGAGGTCTTCAGGGGACAAAATAAAAAAAAAAATAATAATAATAATATTCTATACATACATAAAATATCAAATTGCTAAAATAAAATAATAAAGTTTAAATACAAGACTTCAAGGAGATGCTCTATGAGTAATATTATGAATGAGAGTTTACCGGACTCAAACAGCAGACTATTTTAGCATTAATTAGACTTCATGATGCATTCAAAATTTGCATTTGAGTTTTGCATTGGATCTAGTATAACATAAGGTTATAAAACTAAAGTGTTAACTAATATCTTGATAGCTTTATAATAAATACACACAATAAATCATTTATTAAACTTTAGCATATGGTGAGTTCATTATTTGCTAAGCATTAACTCTACATTAAAAGACGCAAGCGGTTTAACTGCAGCTGACTTGTAAGCATGTGTAATGTGTTTATAAATTGTTTTTATTCTTTGTGACAAATTGATTTTTCATTACTAAATCAAGTATTGCATTATTTACAAACTAGTTATTTAAGAGTAGATGGTTGTTAATACATGTATTTAATAATAAACTATTAAATCAACGCTTGTATATTTTATTATTCAGGCATATAGTAGTGGTTACTGTGTATGTTAGTAAATGCTTCATTAACACAACTTCAAAGCAGTTTTGTGACCTAATCTAAAGTGAGGACTATTTATGTGTCAAAATCCCTTATAAATGACAAATAAAGGCTCCGTATCAAATGAACAATAATCATTGCAATCCTATCTAAAAAATAAGATTAAAGTTTAAACATTGCAGAATAACAGGAGTGTCAAAATACAACATAAAATTGGATTAAAAGAAAAAAATCTATAATATGATGCAACATTTCAATGCTATTTAGCGATATTTAAACTGCAGTCATTTTATTTTAGATTCGGTTTCATCTCTGCATCTTCAAATGAAGAGAAATGAATAAATTAATTTATGTTCTTCTATTCTGTTTAGAATTTAAAGTGAGCCTTTAGTTATTAAGTATAAGGGATTTACAAAGCATAAACATTCCTGAGTTTAGATTAGGTCACAAAACTGAATAAAGTTGATTTAATAAAGATTTATTAACACAATTAACTATTAATAAATGTCAAATAATCAGATATATCAATGTTAATTTGAGTAGTTTATTAATCACTTTCTTATGCATTCAGAATGATCTTTAAAAACCACCAACTATTCTTAAATAAGTAGTTTGTAAATAATGAAAAACTTAATGTAGTAATGAAAAATTAATCATTCAGGTATGAAAAGTCAATTATTAAGCACATTGTATATGTACTTATAAGTAGGGCCAGATGAAATCTGCTGACATTCCTTGCTATTTCTGCAGAGAAGTTTGGTAAAAATCTGCAAATTTCTGCGGAATTATTTTGGTAATATCAAAACTAAAACCTTAATATGTGAAATAAAAAATAATATATTTTTATCGTTTATTTAATGTTTAAAATGCAAACCCAATTAGATTCACTTTATTTGGTAAACAAAGCAAGTCTCTAATTATATATCTATTAAAAGACAAAAAAACATTACTTTACAAACTGTATTGTACATAAATCAGATGAAAATGTTCACATTAGTCAATATTACTGTAATTAATTAAAAAAACTGAATCAATATAAATTTACACACATTTACTCAAGTAAATAAACAGAATTAATGATTTTAATTAAAAGAATTGATTAAAAATCTGCGGAATTTTGTGCGCACTGATTCGGTGAGGGCCTACTTTTAAGTCAAGAAAATAGCATGTGTAGCTGCAGTTATAAACTGCTCACTAATGTTTATTAATGTAGAGTTAATGCTTACAAGATGATGAATTCACTATTTACCAATGCTTAATAAATGGTTCATATTATAGCATATAGTTATTATAAAGTGTTACCAATATATTTTTATACTAAAAAGAAATTTCAATTCTGAGAGATTAAAAAAAAAGAATGAGAAATTGTATTCAGTATATAACAGACCACATAAAACATTTAAGAGCATATTAGCTCATAACTGCTCAAATGGAGTTCAAATTTATGAACCAAACACATTTTCAAATATTTCCATTTGATTAAACAAACACAACAAATGAACATTGTGGTGCATATTCATAAGAATAAACTGGTATTGAAATTGTGAGATAATGTAAAAGGGGCGAAAAAAATGGACTGAATTGTATAGAGCTTTTTCTTCGCTGCTGCATGGAGAGCTCCACAGCGACAAGTGTCTTCCAGTAGGATCCTTAGAACTTCCATTTACAGCATTTACGACTGGTAAGTCTTAATCTGAAAATGGCTGTCAATATTATGGTGAATTACATTTGTTTAAGTTGCTTAAAAAACAGAAAATGATCACTTTAGTGATGACAATGCCCCATTTAAATGGATGCCTTCTGACGGTAAGGGTAAATGCTTCTCAAATGTTGTTTTTCCATTCCTATTAGATTGCATTATTTAAATGATCAGTCCAGGAGGTGGCGCCGATCAACAACAGTACGAGTTCAAAGATGTTAAAAGCAAGTAAAAAGGATTAAAATTAAGGTTTTAAAGCTGTCCAAATGTGCCTGTTTATACGCATCAAGCTGCCGACCGGAAGTTTGAAGCATCCTCTTTACGCATACACGCAAAGCAATATAGGTTAATGTGGCATTTTAAGAAAAAGGTCTATATGATTATACTATGCATGGGATGATAACAGTGTTCCCAAGGTATACCACGGTTTGGAAAAGTCAAGGTTTTAAAACCGCCAAAATTTTCTGTAATACCGTTCCTGAGGTATGAGTACGATTTTTTATTAACTTTTTTGTTTGTTTTTTAGAAAAAAAAGTATCTTTAGCAGAAAAAGATATCCAAAGATGCTGTTTTAAATTGTAAAAAAAAAAAAAAAGAAAAAGGTGTTTTTCAAAACTAATAAAGACAGCATAAATCAATAATTTATTGGAATTATTTAGCCTGACATTTCTACTGCTTCAATTTTTTTTAATCTTTCACAAGTTAAAATAGATTGTGAAAAAAGGGGAAAGAGGTTTGTTTTTTTACCCAGATATTTAAAAATAATATATTTTAGAGCAGTAATCTTAATACCGTGATATTTATATTAATATATTATCATTCCGTCAGAATCTTATACCGGCCCATGCCAAGATCATACTCTAATACTTAAAAAAAAAAAAAAGAAATTACAAATTAATTAATGATTTGTTTTAATTGTTGAAATGTTTTGAAAAAAGATTTTCATTAAAAAAAAATCTTTTATTTTTCTTTTTTTCGGTGTCTACTAAGTTTGTATCAGCAATAAATGTTCACTCACCCACTGCTTCTTCTTGGTCTGTGAAAGAAGTTGTTTATGCTGAGACACCATCTTCTTCATCTCCTCCATGAGCTCCTCTTTGCACTTCTCCTTCACCTGTTTGCACTTTCTCTCCATCTCGGCCTGCGTGCTGGACACCGCTTTGTTCACCGCCTGCCTTTTCTCTTCCTCCATCTCTCCTCGCAGCTGTAAGGACGACCACACTGCTGAGTTTGCAGCAATTGTTTCACCCATTTCCATCAATGGGGAGGGTTTCATCACAAAAAAATCTGGCCACAAGAGGGAGCCAAATGTAGGTCCAAAAAAAAAACAAAAAAAAAAATTTCTCACCTTGTCCAGAGCCTCTTTCAGGACTCGTTCGGTCTCCCGTTTGTTCTCCGCCTTCATCATTTCTTTAACGTCGCTGAAGATCTTGGAGTATTTGTCGTGGCACATGTTTTGGCAGTTGCCTTCATTTACTGTCTGTGTGCCTTTGTGGATCATGCGAGGGGCCGGAGAGGAAGAGGATGAAGGGGAGCTAGACTTTTTGGTCTGCGTGGAGACGGACATACGCTCCGGCTGATGTGGAACAGCTGTTGGAATCTCTTGACTAGAACTGACTGCTTCCATCTCGGGCTCAGGTTCCTGATAATACAGGAGGAGACTGTAAGGGGCTGTTTACACCTGGTCACTTTATACATTCTTTTCTGATCGGAAAGCTATCAGATTGTGAAAATGGAAACACACTCTAGATGAAGCTGGACATGTCTAAATGCATCTGGTTGTTGAAGCCGCTTATGTAAATTTTATTCCACCCAAAATGTAAAGAAATAAACGTGAGAGCATGTTATTGGCTTTATGGACATACAGTTGATGTCAGAATTATATTAGCCATTCTAAATTATTAGCCTGCTGTATATTTTTCCCCAATTTCTGTTCTTTTTTCACCACATTTCTAAACAAAATAGTTTTTATAACTAATTTCTAATAACGGATTTCTTTTATTTTTGTCATGATGACATTTCAAGACACTAGTGTTCAGCTTAAAGTACAATTTAAAGGCTTAATTTGGTAAATGAGGCAGGTAAGGGTAATTAGGCAAGTCACAACACTGGTTTGTTCTGTAGACTATTGAAAAAACTATATTACATAAGGTGGCTATTAATAATAATAATAACCTTAAAATCTCTTAAAAAAGTAAAAACTGCATTTATTCTAGCTGAAATAAAACAAATAAAACATTTTCCAGAAAAAAAAAAAAATAGAAAATACTATGAAAATTTCCTTGCTCTGTTAAACATCATACAGGAAATATTTGGGGAAAAACAAAAATAATAAAAAAATTAATAAAAAAATAACAATAAAATAAATAAATCACGCAGGGCTAATAATGTTGACTTCAACTTTAAGATCGCTAATGCAACAAGCAGCAACAAAATATGCTGTTTCGTTTGTTTATAAAAGTTTTTTTTAGAAATAAGGTTGTACACAAATTAAACATAAACCTTTTACAGTTTTAAATATGGTCTTGCGCATATATGTACAACAAAAACAGACACTCATGGGCCGATCACACCGAACACTCGCACACAATAAGTAAAGTCTAGATCGGATATGTGGCCGACTGGAAGTGCGATATGCACATCAAAATAGCAGCATTTTTTAAGACACCATATACCAATAATTTATATTTTTACAGTACTGTGACGGTTAGGGTTGGAGTAGGTGTTAAAAAAAATACAGTTTATTGAGTAATTTAATAGATAGCATAAATAAGTCTGTACAACTACTGTTTTTACGTTACTGTGACAGTTGGGTTTAGGGTTGGGATGGGGGTAGACATTAATAAAATACAATAAATGAGAAATTTATAAATAATATAAATAACTCTCGTCAACTTCCAGCCACAACCACATCCGATCTAGCAACAACCCACACAATACACAGCTGATTCAGTCTGATTCAGCTTTTTTCTTGTCAACAAAAAAGGCAGTGTGATGTGCCTCGCGTTTTTGGAACGTAAAACATTCGATGTGATCGGCCTCTAAGGCTGTTTGACCACTGAAGCATTTTGTGCTGCAGAAAGGTGAGCACTGTTCTAAAAATGCTCAGCTGTAAGCATTTTTGAAAAGCTGCGTTTGTTTCAGTCAGTTGCTATTAAACAGAGTATCCCCACTGTACCATTACAAGTTGAAAGTCTTTTGCCGTGTCCTAATTTACATACCATCCATCTTAAATAGTTTGTGAAAATAGATATGTTGAAAAGAGTATGCCAAAGGATCCTGGATGGTCTACTATTTCCGTTAGAAATTCAAAGTGTAGAACCATCCGTACTCGATTGCTAATATTGCCCACATTACATTGCGTCTTGGATGTGAATTCGATTAGAACTACAATCTCAGAGGAAAAAAAAACAAACTACAAACATGGCTGATGTGCAAGACCAACCGTCAAGTAGAGAGGCTTTGGTAAAGTTGTTGGAATGACTATTAATATCTAGCCACTGAGACAATATTTAAATCATGTTTTTCGTATTATATTTAATCTGCAACAACGATGCCAACTCATATAAAGACATGTTTGGACATTAACTTCTGATTTCTGCATAATTAGCTAAACACCTAAGGAGATTTTTCTGCATGAATGCTAGTGAATGGCAGATTAACCTGCTGCTGAATCTTCAATAAGGTAGCTAATTAAATGATTGACATGCTCATAACCAAGCAACATAACGGTCCGCTAATGAGGAAGTAGTATGTCCTAAAGCTTGCATACTCTTCTGTTATGCGCTTTTCTTCACAAAAGTAGTACATACCTTTAGAATATAGTTTAAGTATGTGAACTGGGACACAGCATTTAGTAGATTATTTGTTGACATTTGAGGGGCATTGTCCCACCCCCATCCTCCACAGTGATTGGATGGCTAGTTCAATACTGATTGGCACTGCACATTTCAACTTGGAACGGCTGGAAAAACGCAGAATGCTTAGCGCTGACTGCAAAACGTTCTGCTCAGAGTCTCGCTGCACTGCAGGCACTCAAAAATGCAGCGCTATCATTGAAAACAACAGAAAACACATGCTCGACTAAAAAAAAAAACCCGCTTTGGACATGCAACCTAATCACGCCACCTGTCTTGTGTGATTGTGATGATGTTTGGCACATGAGTGAAGTACAAAGCCTCCTATAGCCAATATATAAAATCATTCGTATGCTGAATAAGATAAATTAAGTTTCTGTAAAAACTAATATATTATTTAAATAAATCACGCTGTATCTGATGCTTTAGTCAACATCACCTTATTGAATTTGTCTATAGTTCTGGATTTAAGGTTCAGAATCATATCCGTTCAGCAGAGGCGCATTTACTGTATGTAGCCAAATGTGAATGGAACCATTTTCATAAATCAGATCTATGAAATTTTCATAATCAGATCAGCTATCTGATCAGAGAAAACACATGAAGTGAGCCAGAGTAAATAGGTCCAACATATATATTTTAAAAATAATTATGTGGTACAAACCTCTTCTTTGGGCTCGGCGACTTGGGAACGCCGGCTCTTTTTAGCCTTGGGCTCTTGGTTGACTCTAGACTGTTGCAAAATTCAGAAGGTGTTCAATAAAGTCTTGAAAGGTGAACGGTGACATTTTCCATGCAGCAGAAAAGTGCTCACCTGCTCATTGGATGTGGACGAGATGCTTGACTCGGCTTCTTCCTGTCGTTCTTCCTGCCTTTCGTGCCTCTCTGACCTGTCGTTCTTTTCCTCCGGTTTGCCCTTCCAGGTTCTGCCCTCTCTCACAAAGCGCTGGTGGAGCTCCAGCTCATCGCAGGCCTTTTTCCAGCCTGAGCTGCGCTTCACCTGCAGCTGCTGCACACTGACCGTGATGTCCTGGATGTTGTCAGAAGGAATCCATGCCCTACAGCAAAACAGACACAAGCTTGTTAGTGTGCTCACATTAAGCTTTTGGTCCAGGTCTACAATTAAGGAGAGTCAAAACTCAGTAGCGTTGGGCAATACAATAACTTCACAAACTTTTGACTTCTAACAGCATATGTACAGTAGTCACCTATTGTGTAAATATGATCAGATATTTAAGTAACATTTCAAACATTCATCTAACTTTAGATTTAAGATCTTAACAAGCAATTCTAACTTGCATTAAACATCAAAATTAATATTTGGATTATAAAAAGAATTAAATTGTCGATGATGATAGCCTCATTAGCATATAGCACAGCTAATGTCCAGAGTTCCAATCCAGGGAAAAAGACCTTTTCTAATCCCATCCTCTCTCTCCAACTTTCTGTCTAAATACTGTTATATGCTAATAAAGTCAAAAACCACCAAAAACAAATTTAATAAGTGATTACATTGTGTGAAGCTAGTGTGCATAAATACGAACCATGCAATATCAATTTTTAGTTCAGAAAACATTTTAATATTAAACGTCACATACACTTCTCTGAACATTTCTGAATGATTACATACAACTTACTATTCAGTGAAATGGATTATTTCACTTACTAGTGCTAATAAACTATCATAAACCATCAAGATTAATATAGTAAACTTCATAAGCTAAAATTATCATACTGATTAACTTTATAACAAGATGGTTGGTGGCAAAATTATTATCAAAATAGTGCACTGCTAGGTCAATCACCCAAAATGAAAACCTCGATTATCTGAACACTTTGCATCAATTAAAATTTTTGAATGATTCTTTTATTTTCAAATTATTATTTTTATTTACAATTATTTTATTTTTTAATTACTTAGTTTCTTATTATTTCCACCCCGTCCCAACCAGTAGCTCATGTTATCATTTGTACAGTAAAAATTATCAACTATTATAGGTGGGACATCTTTCTAATAAAAGCACATATTCTTTGTGATATAAACATGATTGAATGAAACAAACAAATTATTGTTATTTGTTGAATTCTTTAAGCTCAAATACAGATATCATCTGAAAAAGTCACATTTAAATTATAATGTAAAAAAAAAACAAGTTCTTACCTTGGTTTGTGCTAATATTTTTTAAGAAATAGTATCACACACACATGCACATACTGTTTATATACATACATAATATATACATTGAAAAATACATACAATTATGTAGAATGTAAAGAGTATCAAGACATTTGTTTTTTAACAATAAGCAAAAGAATAATAATAATGATAACGATTAAAATTGGTTTATTGCCACAAATTTTGGAAAAATATTTATCATATTGACGTTACAGAAATATTAACCGAAAATCGGAGGAAAAAAGGGGAAATTGCGTCAGTTACAGGTTATAAATTTTGGTTTCTTTTCCATTAATTAATATATATTAATTAATATATTGTGAATATTTGATATGTCACCCAGATGTAGCTCAGTCATTAATTTAGTTTAGCTTTTGATAAGGCTTCTGAAACCTCATTACTCTAGGCAAAACAGCCAAAGCAACACTGTGTGCTTGACCTTGTTATGATGCGTTCGAATTTCCAACTGCAGCTTTCACACTTACTCAAATAAACCGCACTGAGTTATAGAACAAATGACTTCATTTAAACATACCCTAAACCACATATTGTCAATCACCCTAATATAACCCTAAACTCACCTTTGGTGCTGGTGACCAAAAAACCGGACATCCACCTGGTTGCCCTCCCTCTGCATCACCTTGGCAGGCCAGTAACCAAAGCCCTTCATCCTGGCCCAAACCAGCTCATGATTCGGAGACTGAACACAGACAAACATCTCTTTTTTTAGACTGGCAAATGCAAAACAACAGGCGTAGATGTGAAGAATTAAGTGTCTGGATCTGTGCTTACACATGGGTAGCAGAACCAATTGTCAGGTCGCGCATTTGAGAGATAAAAGCAGGTTCTGCACAGCATTAACTCATTCAGCTGGAACAAATAATTTATATATTAACATAAATCTAGAAGGAAAAGCACTCAACAAGTGTTGCTCTTTCTGACCTCATGGCATGTGTCGTTATAGAGAAGTCTCGCAATTTCAGTCTGATCACTGTTGACTGTTGACAGAGAATGAGGAAACGGTTAACACCTTGCTCCACACAGTATTTTATTTATAAATCACACCAGTTTTTAAACCTCACCTCCGTGCAGAATGGCGGTGTTGTGAACTATAAGTTGAGCATCAGCCCTGAACTCCTCAAAGCTCTTGTACTTCCCATCTGAGATGTTCTGTGGAGGAAAATAAACATAAGAACATGCCAAAACCGCTGGGAGATCTTTATTTTTAATTCGTTTTTACCTCTTGTATGTTTTCCACATCCAGAGGCGTGTGGATCAGTCTTTTGTATATGGGCTGCTTTGCCTCTTTGCCTCTCTTGTGCAGGTCTACAGCCTATCAAGATCAGATTAGAAGACAACATCTAAATCTGTTTCACTTTTTTATTTTAACAGAAAATACGCAGACGATTAAGTGTGAAGTAAAAGTGTGAAACGCACCCTTTCCTTCATGCGTCCAAGAATGAACTTCAGGTATGTTGTCATTTCCTGTTTGTTCAAATTCTTCCTTTTACTGCCCTGTTAGAAAATATCATCACAAAAAACAAATGACTCATTAACCACATCATCTGCACTAAATTACTCTCACAATGGTTTAAGGTTTCAAACGAATAAATTAAAAGCATGTTTGTGAAATACTTCAATTTACATTCCTGAGGATTTCATATGGGTGAGTAGTTGTTTGACCTTTCATTGTCAGCATGACACAAATCTATTCTACATTATTTGGTCGGATGTTTGTTAGGGCTGCACTATTAATCAAAATAAGATTGCGATCTCGATTCGACCCTACACACAATCTTTATTCTGCTTTTTCTAAGATTCAGCCATTTATATTTTCACCGTCAGGAGAGAAGCATCAAGGCGGTTGCACAAGTCTTCACATTGATTTATATACATTGATCAGCAACATGGACACCTCCAAATGGTGTTTAAAGAGTCATGTACTGTATTAATAAGGTATAATTCACCCAAAAATGTCATTACTGTCTTCATGTAATGATGTATTCGTAGCCGCGAAATCACACGAGCTGACCCTGAACTGTGTGTTTAAGCCATACCTGTCAACATTGGGATGTGAAAATAAGGGATATGCCCACCATAATAAGAGACCACAAAAATGTGGTAAAAAAAAAAAATGCACACATCATACATTATAATGAAAGCATTCGATTGCTTTTCTAACTTATTACGCTCATTTAAGACGAAATTAGTTGTGTTTGAAAAAAAACCCACCAAGATCGACATCATTAGATGTTATTATTATTAATTATGTGTATATTTCTGTTTAAAAACGCACCCAAAAGCCAGACTTTCGCTCTGCTTCAAATCGCATGTACAGAATCTGTTTGGGAAACAGCATCTATTAGACTCTATGGAGCACGTCAGCCGACAGTCATGCACCATTTTATGACTGTTTTAAGTATTGCATAGGAGGGGTGACGGCACCTGTAAAGAAAAGGAAAGGGAATCGCACTGTTTTTATAGGCGTTTTCTTGCCTAAACAAAGCGAAAGCACAGAACAGACACATATTTAAGAGCAAGGGGCGGCCCCTGGTGGTTCGGCGGTAAGGGTTGTGAATAAGGGAGGCTCAGCTCTTTAATGTCTATTTGCCACCCTTCAGAGAAAGACTGAAAATACAGGAGAAATACGGTAAAATACCTTTACGGGATGATAGCGGGATAGAACTGTAAAATACAGGAGAATCCCAGGAAAAACGGGAGGGTTGACAGGTATGGTTTAAGCTACCACAAAGAGAATGTGTGTGAATGCAGTCTACTTTAGTAAACAGAACCTGCGTAGGCTGTGAATAACATGTAATAATGTTTATTGTACAGGACAATCGTTTGGGAACCGTGCGGGAGGTATGATTTGCATGTATGTTTTTTTCCCCCTTAGAATGATGGCAGCCATGACATAAAAAGCACTCAGCAGTGAAAGTGAAACCGAAAATGCGCACATAATTTAAATGATCATATCGCATTTTAAAGCTATAAATTAAAGACCAGGACAAAGTTAAAGTCTATTCAAGTCCATAATTGCAAGTCTATACAAATTTTAGCATTTTAACCAAGAGTAGACCAACACAGGCCTAAAATTATTATTGTTGTTTTACCATATGTTTGCGAAATAACAATAATAATAATAGCTGACTTGTATCAACTTTATTTTACATTTACAGAATTGTGAGAAAATCATGATCGTAAAAAAGAAAATCCAGCCAAAAGAATTTAGCCAGAAATTCTCATTGTGCAACAATATATCAATTTAATTCAATCTTCATATGTATAGCACTTTTACAATGTAGATTGTGTCAAAGCAGCTTCACATAAATAGTCATAGCAAATTGGAACAGTGTAGTTCAGTTTTAGTGTTTAAGTTCAGTTCAGTTTAGCTCAGTTCAGTGTGGTTTCAAATCATTACTGAGAGTCCAAACACTGAAGATTATGATGATTACTCTTTTTACAATAATAAATTACCATTAAAGGTCCTGTGAAGTGCTTCGAAAATGTCTGACGTATACTGAAAAATGAGAGGGCGGGTCAGAGTAGCTCCTCTCCTTTTTAAAAAGCAGCCAATAGCACGTTGTTTAATCACAGCTCTGCCAGTGAGAGTGGTTGAGCTCAAGTACATCAAATGTGAAGCATCTTGAAGGGGGCAGGGCATATCAGACACTAGAGCATTTGATTGGTCAAGATTTGATGAAAAACTAAAGTATGAGGTGATCTGAAAATAAAAATGTTGATCCATTTAGCCAGAAGTGACAAACTACAAGGTTTACATATTTATATTGGTTTTATAGCTTCTAAATGCGAATTTTGTCATTGTTTTTACCTCACTAGCTTATAGATATCCTTGAAGACTAATATACCGATGACTAACATACTAATACTAACATCTAAAATTTCACTGGACCTTTAAATGTTTGTTTTTTTATGGAAAGGTGGATAATTTCAGGGGACAAAGTTTATATTAAGTCAAAGAGGACTGACCAAAATCCCTGCATTTTTATTAACATATTCTCTGTAATTTAGAAATGTGTTTCCCACCAATTTCATGGATTGAAAGGATTAATTTCATGGACTGCAAATTAATTTTGCGGAAAATAAAAAGGAGAAAAATAATTAGGATCACTGTCATTGTGAATAATATACGTTTTATAAAAAGTAACTATTTATTATCATGTGATTTTCTCTATCGTATTGTACGGATGTTAAAAATGTATTACAATTTAATTACAAGTACATACAGTAACAGGAATCTAAAGGTGCTTTAGGAGATATTGGAAAACACTAATGTTAAAGCCATATTTCCTGAATGCATGAACACTAGACATCACTAGAATACATCATGTAACATTCACCAAAGAGAAAATAGTACAGATAGTAATTAATTACAATACCAACTACCTAAAAGAAGGTAGGCTGTCGATGTTTGGCTGCCATTCTCTGTCTGAATGCACCGATGATGTAAAGTTTTCTGCAGAGGTATGCAATTACAGATTTTGACAGGCAAGTAGGACAGCCAATTGTAATATTCGGACTTTACGTTTTGATTGGATGAACATATAAACACATTTGGACCACTTAATTGAATGTGCAGAGACTTTTAACCAGCATAACAAAATAGTTACTCTACAATCACCTATTGCACCTTTAAGTAATCTAGATTACATACAAATAGTTTTTATAATTATTATTCATAGAGATACACAAATAACATGAACTCAAATTCAAAGGGGAAAAAAACAACAGAAAAAAAACTATAAAATTAAGTCGATGTAGCCAGATGTGTGTGTCTGTGTGTGTGCGCATTAGGCTTGGGCGGTAATATGGTATACCACGGGATCTAAATATAGCAACGGTTTCAATTTCAATACCGTTAGACCATCATAAAAAATAATGCACTTAAATAGTAGACAAGTATTAAATAATAAATATTATTCATTTAATGCCTACAAATGCGTATGCGTGAATGTCATCACGGAAGAGTGTGGAGGAGAGAGAGGGAGAGGGTGAGGTGACGAGTCGAGCACCAAGTGACCTGCAGTTTGGCAGTATTTTCGGTTTCGACCGAACGAAAAGGGAGACGTGGTAAATACAAACTAGAGGTCTGCATTCCTGCTGCTGTACCGCGGGAGCCGACCAAGTTTCTTGCGGTGCGGTAATGAATTCCCTAATAAAGCGCGGGAGCGGTCGGTAACTCTGGTGTAATTTGAAAGGGAGCGGGCGCGCGGTCTAACAATATTGCTCCCGAGCAGGCGAGCACGCGAGCATCCGCGTGGATGCTGTTTATTTGTGTGTGTGTGTATGTGTGTGAATGAGAGCGCCCTGTGCAAATACCGGCGCATATACGGTATTCAGTTTCTGAATGGTTTAGGCACAAGACAACAGTTTGGTGACGCTGTCTGAGCCTTACGTCATAATTGTTTTATTATGCACAGTAATACCGGATACCGGGGTAAAATAGGGAGGAGGTTTGACAGTATCAAAATTTGTATACCGCCCAAGCCTAGTGCGCATGTAAAATTAACTGGGTGTACAGGTCAAAGTTTATATCTGAAATAAATACATAAAATGCACAATATGCATAACAATAAAAGCATTATCCATAAAGGTCAGAAATAGTATCAAAAATAAAGCAAGAATAATATCAGAAATGTTAGCATTACAATGAAAATTAAAGGTACTACACAAAACTTTAAATACTTTTCACCAAATAACAAGTAATGTGGTTATTTTCCTAACGATGGGCAAAATAATTGCTGCCAAGCACCACAACAGAACTTGGTCAATTAATAAGAGATGAATGGGTCAAACAGCATTACCCAAATCTTTTAGTTTTCTAAACGCGTCTATACTCACCCTGCAGATGCCGCACTGCCAGTGGGAGGTCGTGTCCCGCGGCCGGTGGTCTTCCGACACACACCGTAGGTGGTAAACACGGAAACAGCCGTCACACTCCATCACGTCTCCAGGAAGGTGACACTCAAAGCAGTACCAATCATGACTTTCTGCCTCCCAGTCCTGAAACACACACAGTACAGTAATGCACATCCCCGCCCGCCTGGGCCAGGAACAAGACCACTGATCCAGGAACACTTTTCCCTTTCATAACCTGCAAATAAAACCTTATAAAACAGCTTTAAGAACAGCTCTCTTACTCTGACTTCTTTCTTTTTTGTAATTGTGTAAAATGTAGAATTGCTGAACATGAGAAAACAGAGTATGAGGGGTGCTCTTATATGATTAGTGGTTTTTCTGATTTTTCCAAAACCCACTCATTAGTAATTATAAAGAATCAAACTAACATTGTTTAAAGAAGTTTAGTAATTGGTGATGTGAGAAACATAAGCATGTACATTTTTGCATTATGGTTCAATTCAAATGGCCACTTTTTCCATGTTTTTACAATTCAAATTAGATGCATATGAACTACAAATGCTTTACAGAGGAATTATTTAAAACTAAGGTAAGTTAAACTTGGATTAGCTAAGCTACAGTTTTAAAACAAAGATAACACCATCATTGACTTTTACACAAGTGGCCATTTAAATCAAACTTCAATTATGAGATTTTTTTTAAGGAAACGGTGAGCAATCACATTCTCACATGCCACAATCACATTCACCTAATGTTAATGCTATCTCCTCAGTAGGGATGCACCGATACCATTTTTTTGGAACCGATCTGATCCCGATACCAAAACTATTATTGTATATAGTATTGTCTGATACAGATCCGATCCAAATACTGTGCCGCTTTTTTTTTTTTTTTTCATAAAGCTGCGATCACACTAGAGTTTGATAATGCAAAATTGTCGTGCGGCACTGCGAAAAGGGGCAGAATTAAACAAGATTATTAGACATTAAAAAAAGCAAGCATTTGCTTTATTTTTTAAGTTTCTGTCCAGAGAGATCATGTTTTGATTCTCAGTTGGTCTCACGCAGTCAACTGATATGATTTCACAGGTCAGAGTTCACAAAGCTTAAACTTTGCACCGCAGCGACCTGCGAAACTTGAAGTATGAACCTGTGTTTCCGGTCTGACGCATTCGCATGTGTATGAATAGAAGTCTATGGGGAGAAAAGTCCAGTGTCACCGCAGCTTAATACAGGTTCTATAGTTGTTTTGATAAACTCAAATAATAGATCTTCTTTAGTAAAATTAACCGACATGTAGGCCTACTGTATTTGGCAGACGGCACAATCTAACTAAAAACATGATGCTTGCTGTAAACTAGGCCACATTATTTGAGCATTCATTATGACATTGATCTGTTTTTTTCCAGCTTATGGTTCCTTTTTGACTATTAAGATTTTTCTTTGAAATCTATATTAGGCTACCACTATTGACCTTAATCAAAACACAAACTGGTCTATTAAGTAAAATGTTAACATAAATAAAACTACAGAGAAATATTCACAGTTTCAGAGTAGAAAAAAAAATTCTGTTAATAACAATCCATATTGTGCCTGTAAGTTTTACTTTTATTAATTTAATCAACTACTTAGACCACAATGAGCCAGGCTTTACAAATTATTCACAGCACTGAAAGTATTCCCCTTTGAAGAACAAACTCGGTCACAGAAGCTTTTAATATTACAGAATAATTTTACAGATTTTACGGATTTTATGATGCATCACTGAGCCTTTTCTAATTAAAAATTTCAGGTCGGCCAACTTTGTGTGTGAAGAGCAGGTTATAACCCTCTACTCCAGTGTTGCGAATGTGATCTTCTGATCTAACAGACACAGCGCAACATGATGTAGAAACAGCAATGAACTCCATGTTGCAGGTCAAAATGAACCCATTTAATCCAAAACTAAATGCATTTCTCAACTGATAACTTATATTAACAGGAACAAATAGTCTTGGAGAAAGTTTTTTTGAGCTGAAGGGAAGTGCTGAATAGAACATGAATTTAACCACTTTAATATTCATCTGTGCTTCACATTAAACTATAGAATGGCATCAGAACATTTGTAATAGACTTATAATAGGCTATCTTCATGGCTTTTGTTGGCTTATAAATTACACAGAATATAGCGCACACAAGATCGGATTTGGATCGGTACCAGCTAGCCGATACCCAATCCAGCAAAAATATTTGGTATCGAACTGATATCCGATCCAAGTATCAGGATCGGTGCATCCCTACTCCTAAACTGTTATCAATCTACAGCACACACCTCAAAACACACCAACACACACCATTCACATTCACTGTTCTGGATACAATACAAAATCTGCAGGCTTTGAACAAAGTTTTTCGTTAAAATGTTGTTTCTTTCTGTAAAATGTTTTATTTTTATCTTTAAAATGGGACAAAAGCAGTGCAAGAAGTTCACAGAGGTTTGAAACATAGATATTTATTGTAGGTATTTTTTTCATAAAAGGTTAATGTAATTTTGCAGCTAATAGATTTTGACTACATTAAGAATTTCTGTTAAAGTAAACACCTTATAAATTCAAATGTAGAAATATGAAAGTGCAACTATTATCCTGAATAAAAAATTTAACTTCGGACACTGCTCTTACCCCTAGTAAACGTCTTGTTAACTTGGCAAACACAGGTCTAACAGGTTTTGACATTGAGCTGATCTTGACATTGACATAAGAATCTTGCAAAATAAACTACATTTTTATTTGAAAACATGGAAGATTAATATGTGTGAAGCATACGCACATCTGGAAAAAGAGCTTCAGAAGGCAGAGATGGCTAGAGAAGAGAGAAATCACTAATAATGAGCATTCAGTGACAAAAAGGCGACAAAACCCTTGCACAGAAAAGCAGTGAAGCGATATAAAGCTTGTTAATGCCAGGTTTTCTTTAGACACCATTACGTGCATTATGACAACATCTTGGTTAAAAATAACATAGAAATCTATTTAAATTTGAAATATAAAGGCAAAAGCTCCATTCAATTCAGCTGCTCTCCCATGCACAGGTTATACATATTATTGACTGAAGGGTAGTTTACAGTATATTTGTTAATTAAAGAAACTCCAACTGGACTTCAACGTACCTTGCTTCCCTCTGACATCTGCTCCTGCGATTGCAAGTGATCCAAAAAACATTGTTTAAAATCCTAATCCGAGAGCTGGGGTTGGTTGAAACTAACCACAGGCGCTCCGTGTTAGGGACTCGCAGGTGGGTGTGTGTGGTGTGCAATAAACAGCAAACAATGTACACTGCTAATAGAATATTAAATATGCGTTTTACATGCGATACTGGTCAAACATTTAGGGTCAGTATGATTTCCCATGTTTCTGAAAGTCTTTTGGCCCTTTTCACAAGACTTTTATGACGCGTTTAATGATCATCATAATTTTAAATCCTTAAAAGTTTTTGATATTTAGATTTTTTTTAAACTATGATAAGAACATTGATATATATTTATGCAAGTATTATATCATCTTTGCATGAAATTACAAAAAATGAATTACCGCTTATACGAGGCGTTTCTAATGTAGCGTCTATGGGCTGGACAGTAAATTTGACGTTGTTCTCTCTTCTGTTGGCCGTTATCAGTCTCATGGTGCGTTCACACCAGTCACAGATGAAGTATCAATAGCAAGTGATTTACATATTAAGTCAATGCAAAGATGTGAATAGACATCTTGTGGCACAATTTTGCGCGAATGAGGTGGCATGAATGATGTGATCAAGTTGGAAATTCCAAACTTTAGCAGACATTGGCGCCATGTTAACCAATTAGAAGCTTTCTCTCGTATGGGCGTGATTATGACGTTGCGTTTGTAGTGCGTGTCCTGATGGAAAATCCTACTGCTGACCGGATTTACTTCAGAAAAGATCTAGTTGACGCATAACGAATCTACGCAGTTTTTCAGTCTTCCTAAATCACAAAGCACAGCTAATCTCTCGATAAAAACCATGTTAGCTATTTTGCAATGAAAAGTCATCGAGCAGACAGAGGCTCCAAACATCACGCGAATCCATGTCTATAGAGTGGAGGAACTAAGATGTCAATTTGTATGCAAGAACCGGGAAGCGAGTTAGCATTTTAGCGGTTTCGGTTCCCTCGTCCCAAAGTCAATGGTTTTTTTTTTGAAGGGATTTAGGTTAAATCGCTTAAATAAAATTTGTGGCCAACACAAACTCAAGATACTTTCACGTTTTATTCTATGACATAAAGCACATCAGTTACATCACACTCTTGATTTTTTTCATTCGGTTGCGCTTATTTAAAAAGAAGGTTGCTATTAATTTGCTAGACGGGACTACAGGCAGTGTCGGAGACGTCATCGAGCTGCACTGGTCTGGAACGCAGCCCGATTGCGTTGGGCATTTGGATTTGTCTGTTATTAGGTATTTCCATGAACAGTATTTTAGTGGTTTTATAAATATGTTTTCTAGTTGGGAATTTATATTGTGTAGATAATGCTTTCACATGTAAAGATTGCAGAGACAGATTAATTTATTGATCATTTATTTTAATCAAACGATATTATGGGGATACTGCTTACCAGTGCAGTCTGTTTCTTTTCTTGCTCTCAGTAATGCAAATGTGTGAATAAATGCGCAAAAAATACATACGTTAACTGTTATTTTAATGTGATCAATTGATTTTTCGTCTTTTTTTTTCTCGTCATAACTGCAATATTTACACTTCTACTAAAAATCTATAGCATATGGGACTGTATGAGCTGCTTTTCGCTGCACTTTGTGACAAAAAAAAAGAACATTGAATGTTGTTTTCTATGCATGATGGAACTTCCAGGCATATAGACTAGTCCCTCATGCCTCATTTTTGTCATCTGTTGCGAAGTGGGCTGTGTGCACGCGAGCGATACACTTATTAAGTCTTGCGATAATATGTAGGCACATTTATGCATAAAGTTTTCAAACTTTTACTAACAACTGTAAAGCAAAACAAAATGTATTTCCCATGTAAAAACTATGTAAAAGGCACGTAGGTCTATGTGTTTTTGCATATTTGTTTAAAATATATAGCATGGATTATAATACAATAAACCGAGAGTAAAGTAAATCTTTGTCATGGACAATATAAGCCTTTAGGAAATTCTTATAGGGATTTTATTGAGGGAACCAGTTTTAAGCTAGCAGGCGATAAAGCCTACAAGGTGATGTCATAGTTCCTCCACTCTATTGTGAAGTGAACTTGAAGTGTGAATAAAGCAAATTTAAAGCACGAATGAAGTAAATGAGTAAAAATAAATTGTTCACGCATCTATTTACACGCAAATAGAGCAATTTATTCATACAAGCCTAATCTAGTGTTAACAAAGCATTACACTGTATTTTTCCTTTTTCTGAAAGTCTTGGCAACACTATCGTTGAGCTTTTCTTATTTTTTTTAGCAAACAACTGTAAAAAATATATACTTGTTGTACTCTCCCATTCACTGCGCTCTAAGTTTACCCAAACATGATGACATCCGCTACTGAGAAACTCGGAAATGTGAAAAGGGCTCCATTACACTCACCTAGTGCCTATTTTCTTTTTTTAACAGTAATACTGTTAAATATTATATATATATATATATATATACATATATATATATATATATATATATATATATATATATATATATATATATATATATATATATATATATATTTGTTTTTTTTTTGTTTGTTTTTTTTCATTCTTCCAAAGGAAAAGTTGCAAATTCAGCAAGCCTTACTCAAATCTGTACTACACGATTCTTCTGAAATCATTATAATATAATAACCACACATTTTAAGCAAGTAAGAGAGCAAGTCAAAAGGATTTACAGTAGATGTCAAGTAAAAAAAACATAGCATATTTTATGCGTTTTGCTACAATGCAGCAAATTATGAACTCTATAATGACCATATGTATGATAGAGAGAGAGAGAAAATAGATTTTAGTAGCTGTTTAAACACGTGACCAAATCTGTCTAAATGCATTTCAGCAACCTTTGGAAGTGGTCAAAAATAGATTAGCTTAAAATATTTTAGACCTCCATTTACACGTGTTTTTAGTGTCATCTAGTACTAGTGACCAGTTGATGAAAACACATCTAATACCCAACGTAAACTGGGCCTATGTAACAACGTGAAATTCTTCACGGTCACATTAATTGTTTTGAATTAATTCTCTTTCAAAAGCAAAACATTCAGACTGACCTCCAAATGTTGAACAGTAACGTACATGTCAAAAACGCTTTCATACAAATAAATACTCAAAGACTTTTTTTTGAATGAAGGCCCCACACTGCTGCTACAGCCTGGGATGGAAGCATACATTTGTAGCTGTAAGCCATACCCCAAAAACAAACAGTACTTCCCATCAGGCATGCTCTCTCACACAGCAGAGGAATGTCTCTATGTGCTGCTGATGAAGCACTGAAACATCCCTATCTACCATCACTACTGTGTATAGAGGATGTTTACAGCTAAAAACTTATTGTCGAGAGTCAAAACCATCAACTTTACCAATAATAAGAGGAACTAATCAAATGTGTCCTAATGATGGCTACATTGACCTCAGCAGCATATCAACTCTTTATTTCACTTCATTAATATGTAGTAAAACCAAGCCATGTTTACCTTTAGCATTTTTATCTAGGAGGTATGTAGATAAAAGTATGTTATGTTTAAAATAGACATGCTCTGGTTTGTGTCTCACCATCTCATCTCCTGGGAGCCAGTAGCCCTCCTGTTCAATCCCGGCCTTTGAGCCTTTGCAGCCCACTGTGAGCGTTTCCACCACCAAACCATCTTTCACAGCCAAAACCAGCTGCCTGGTTGTGTCTTTAGGGTGCATACCATACACACGACTTAAATACCTGCACCAAAAACACAAAGGCTATTTCTTAGACAATGATAATGAACACTTTTAAATGGTATCATCAATGTGAAGGGAGTAGAGTTAAAGCAATTACTTTGAGATTCTGTCCATGTTGGCGATTTGTTTCTGATTGCGAATGACTTCGATGGCCGACCAAACATACTGAACCACTTTGGGGTCCGCTTGCCTTTTCTTCACCACCCTCGACATCGTGGCCAGTTCCAACCTACAACAAAAGAACAAGGCATTGAACAAAACAAATCATGCTATGAAGCACTTGCATATTAAACAGCAGATGCAAATGTTGGATCGTTTAAGCATTGATAAAGTAATGTGTTTATATGCAATAGTCACATCACAGGATCTGCAGTTTCATGTTGGGATTAATAAAGCTTGACCAACTCTAATAGGTTCTAATAGTGTGAAAAACTTTGATGTTATGAATTTAAGCCCTGCGACTGTTAGATTTCAAGCAACTGTAAACCATTTGGCCACAATAAAGTCTAAAGTTTGCCACTTTAACAAAGATTGATTAAGTATTTATACAATGAAGACTATACAGAGTTAATTTACATTTAATTATTCCATTTCTGAGCCTCAGTGCTGTTAGACTCCACCAAAAACTGTGCTGCTTATTTCATTTTTATCTTTGTTCTGTTGTTTTCATCTCTGCTTTATTTGGCATATTTTTGTATAACTTTACATATTTTATGTAGATGCACTTCCCTAAAATTATAATTACTTTCCAGAAAAGAGTTACTCAAGTCATCTTATTAAATTCTATTCAAATTTAAAAGTATATCGCAGAAAAACAAAATATCGCAACAGCAATTTTGCCAAGTAAGATGCGATCCTGGATTAACATCTATGTTGATCCTGGAACATCATTTTTGTTGAAAAATGTAATCCACACCTTTTCCCTACCCCTAAACTTAGACATAACAGTAAATTAATACCAAAATCAGAGGGGAATAATAGCCGGATAACAATCATGTAAAAGTGCATAAACCTAACCATGAGCCTAAACTTAACAAAAAACGGTAAACTTAACCTTTAATTCTGATTGGCTTAATGGAATGTTGTTTCAGGATCAACATAGATGTTAACCAAGAAACATGTCCTACTTGGTTAAAAATTGCATAATTACTTTGAAGCGAATGTCACAAACTCTATTTTGACATTCAAAATCCTTCTCGACTTGAATTGTTTACTTGCTATGTTACTTCAGTTTTTGTTCTTGCACTCTAAGTAACCAATCAGACCTCTCTCTTCAGCCAATGGAGATTCTACCTGCTGAATCGGGCCAACAAGCTCTGACATTAACCCAAAGAGGAACACACCAAACATTTATAAAACTCATGGAGTTTCATTAGATGGAAATTCTTTCAGATTCCTTATATAAAAAAAAGACCAGGTTAAACATTAAGCTTTCTTTTAAAACTTTTCAGAACAGCTCCATTAATGTCAGAGGATACCAAAGACAGTAAAGAGAAAAACTAGATCTCTTCATCACTGCTTAGATTAATAGTCAAAATGGCATATAGAAAGCAAATGATTTTCAATAAAAACCAGGGCTCAACAATAAGGACTGCATGAGCGTGTGAGACGCTCGGGCCAGTGTACAGAATGGTTACTGGCCGGATTGGGCCATTGCTGCCTTGTCACAAAAGTTTTTTTCAGTTGCGTGCAAATACAATCTTAGAGTGCTTTCACACATAAGACGTTCATTTCGGAATCTGTTTCGTTTTCCCGTGGTTAGTGTGGTTTGTTTGGCATATGCGAGTCCAGCAATCGCGCTCGGATCCGCGCCAAATCAATCGGTCCGAGATCGCCTGACTGAAATGGTCTCTGCTCGATTGAGCTGATCAATTGTAGTGAGAAAGCAAAACGGTCCAATGAACTAACGACCCAGGCTATATGACAGTGTATTACGATTGTGTAATAGCCATTTATACGGCTATATGAAGAGAGAATGATAAGCAGGGCAAGATGTCATTCCTACGGGCAAATGTGCACGTTAAATGTCTAACTTTAACATTCAATGAACTTGATGAACTGAATATTTTTTCTTTAAAAACCTATGTATAAAACTGACCCCAAACTCGATTATGTTTAGCTTTTGAAACATTATTTAAAATATTGTATGTGGCTGAGAAATAGCTATTAACATCTTTTGTTTGGTGAGTCCAGTGAAAATTTTGGCAGGGCAAGTAAAAATCTGAAAAAAATAAAGTAAAAATGAAGTTAAAAAAAATCCTTAGCGTTGAACCCTGAAAACCCTCTCCACAAAGTGCCTGTAGTTTTCTTATGTCTCCATGTGGCATGAAGAAGAGATGAAAATGACTGTCACATTTATTGCTGTTGTGCATACTGTAAGTTACAGCTTCTACAATCATCTGCCAGATGGCTTTTACTAAGAAGGCCAACTGAAACAACTCCTGTATCCTGAAATCTTCTAATGTAAGTGCAGGAATGTCAAGGTAGGTGAAAACAACTAATGTAAAATAATAATAATTATATATATATATATATATATATATATATATATATATATATATATATAAATCAATTGCGAAACCCTGGGGTCAGGCTAGACAGTATTTTTATTTTCATAAAAAATATGCCTGTAAAGAAAGTAAAAAGTAAAAAGTTTGACACTTAATGTAATAACATTAAATTGTTAATTCAATAGAAAAAAGGACAGTTTACCCAGAAATGTAAAGTCACAAAGTATTAGGTGACTTTTTCATAAATAGAACATTAGAAGGGATATAACTGAGACTATGGTCCTTGGTGACAACAAAAATGCACATGAAAGGTTACAAGCGCATTAAGAGTTAATAATAATAAAAACATGAACGCACAAAAAATTAATAACTGTCTCCTGACATTACATCATGAGGTCTTTTGAAGCTAAATAAATTGTTTGTAAAAGAAACAAATCATTATGTACAACATTATAACCTTTAATTCACATACTCCAGCAAACAGCAGTGCTCTAAAGCATGAGCTTCATATCGCATAATCACATTATCAGTAGTCAATGTGGGAAAATCTAGATTTCTGATTGAGATCATCTTTAACCCAAGTGCAACATCCAGGATGTGTGAAGACTGTCCAAACTTTCCATTGAGGCAGTGGATTAAAAGTTATGATGTAAATATAATGTTCAGTTACTTGTGCAGACCTGTTTTGCTTCATAAGACCCTTACGCATCATCAGAAGCCATTGACATTGCCTAAATATGTTTTTGTAATCTTAAAGTTAAGGCATGCACCAAGGTTCACCGTTTCTGCTTTAATGCTCCACTGAAGAAAAAGGCAACCTTCTTGGACAGCCTATGGTTGAGTTTTTGGTAGAACTCACTCTGTTTTGGTTACACCGGCATCATATGATCTATTAAGATGAGTATTGCTGGTTCGCAACAATCCACTGTAATAACACTACTGAACATGTAGTAAAAACATGATTATAATTACTAGCAACTTTGTCAGGTTTATGACTGGTCACGTGATATCAACATGGCAGCATCCATGAAGTGGCGACCCACTCAATGTGGAATTAAACCGCTTTTGCAGCAGACTAATGTATACAGTACAATTCATCTCATGTGGATTTACACGAGATTTATGTCATTAATTTTTTTTTTAATGTGTAAAGATCTTTAAAGTCACCGATTGCGGCTTGATGTCGCCGAGAAGACCTGTTTGTTTTATTGCGCAATAAATACATGCGCAGAAAGGAGGATAACCGATCGATTCCTTATCGAACATTACAACAACATTGGAAGTTTTTGACAGACATAACTTTAGTTTACACTGTTAACGTTTAGAAATGTTGCCAGTGATTTTTAAAACCCCGACGGATGCCTCTACAACAGTTCATGTGGTTCACAGCTCGAGTGCTGGAATGTATAGCGCAAAATCATTAGGAACCCGATTATGTTAATTAAACGATCGAAATAGTGTAAATCCAAAAACCATGATGACTTTGGCAGCTGTATGGCTTATTAATAATCAATTAAACGCAGTGCAGTGCCTAAAAGAAACAACAAACGGCGAAGAGTCGCTAAACTATAAACATCAAGACATCGGAAACGCGCAAGCTGTTTTTGACGCGCGCTTCATATAGAGCAAACTGCTAGAAATCACGATTAATAGCACAGCAGATTGCAAATGGAGGGAAAACCCTTCATCGGTGCCTACACATTCTTGTTGGTTGGTTGGTGAGCTACATGGACGCCATGTTGATATCCCTCCCTCGCTTCTAGACAAAACCAACCAGTTGGGAGTGGATTTTTTGTTCCTCTTTGCAGCGAATGTCATGAAAACGACCCGGTTTATGCGCGTACTTACCGCTGTCCGACAGCTGATCAAGCGCCTCGCCGTTCCGTCTCACTTTAGGATGTAACGCAGCGCTGCTTACATTTGTGTTTCCGGAGTTAAATGTCAGAATAGTGGTTGGTTGAAGGAGCCCGGCCACAGTTGAAGCTCGGAGGGGGTAAACACACACACATACACATACACACATTCATACACAGTCACAGGCTGTGGGAGAACTCTAGTGGCAGGGCGCAGGAGTTGCGCGTTTTACTCTGCACGTCTCACCTTGAAGCTCTTTTTTCATATTCATAAGTTTGTATATCTGTCATATTTCTTGAAATATTATTTGCATTTTAAAGTTGATAATAATTTAGCCTATGTGGTAATTGTATGTGTGTGTGTGTATATACTGGATATATATATATATATATATATATATATATATATATATATATATATATATATATATATATATATATATATATATATATATATATATATAAATCTCTGTAATGCATGCATAATATAAATCTAAAATCGGCATGTGGGCAAGAATTACATCACCTCTTTAAATTTTCATTCATTTGTTTTTTTTTTAGAATCAAGGTTATTTTTAACTTAGACTAAAACTATGGTTGAAATCTATTTTAGTTAAATGATTCTTATTTTCTTTTAATTTAGTTTGAAGTATTAAAACAAAACGAAATAAACTTACAGAATCTAAATTAAATGAACTAAATTACTGAACATTTAAAGGTAAAGGAAAAATGAAAACATAAAAAATCAGTTTCTATAACCAAATAGAACAAAAACTAAACTAGTATAGTAAAGTAAAACTACTGTTCAACACGGATACATTTACAAACAAATGTTGGTTCATGATTGATAAACATCAGCATTAAAAAAAAACATTTTAAAAATTTGCATTAAAAATAAAAATGTACTACAAATCATTATTAGCTTTTACTGCAAAAACTTGTTTTAATGCATGCATAAATGTGTTTAAATACATAACTGTGTGTTTGTTTGAAAATGTGTATGATTAATAATAATAAGCAATTCTAGATCAACAATTCTCCATAATTTCATTGTTTAAACAGGTCAGTCATAATAGATAGATAGATAGATAGATAGATAGATAGATAGATAGATAGATAGATAGATAGATAGATAGATAGATAGATAGATAGATAGAGATAGATAGATGTTTTCTTTTTAATCAGTAGTGGTAGCATTACCAATTGATTATTGCTAATTCTCATTGCTCTTAAGATGAAACTCCAGCAGATGGTGCTAAATGAACACATATAGACTAACTGAAAAATCAACACTAGAACAATCAAAAGGCTGAACAAACAGCAAGACCTGCCTAATGATATAACAGAACATAGCTGCAACCTATAAATAAAGATAAATATGCTCAAAAAGGCTTTAGTATGACAATCAATTAACACTTTTTAGTTTAAGTATTAGCTTGCATATTGGCTGTTTTAATCATTCTTATAAAGCACATATTAATGCCTTATTCTGCATAAACATGTTCTAGATCACTTAATCATATCCCATATGCTTCAACAACTACCTTAGTAGCTATCATATAAACAGTAAAATACAAGTTTATTGAGGCAAAAGTGGTAGTTCAAAAAATACATTTATGTGGACGCCATTATAAAGTGTTATCCATAGGTGTTAGATATTGCTTCATGTAGTCTTTTTATTACACAACATGGATTGAAGTATTACATAATAGGATAAGATAAGTCTTGGGCAGTGAATGTGTAGTTTGAGCTCGACTTAGCCATGTAAAAGTCCCCATGAGCCACTGTGTCAAAGATCTGAACTCATATTCACAAGTAATTTCATAAAAATGTTAATATTCAACTGTTTTACCATTACGAGGGCTAGACTGCTGTGAAAACCAAATGTTCACAGTTCTTTGTAAGGGTTTGCATGACCAAATTTATTTATATCTGCTGTGTGCTTACATTTTCCCTCACTTTAATATCACAACAAAATATTGAAAAGTCTAAACACATCTCAGTGCTTGACAAAATGTTTGTCATGAGTCTTATTACTCTCGCAAAGTCTGCTTGTATGTCCTTTTTAAAGGAGGAATTTACCAGTAACGAGAACACTCAGAAGACACTAAATAATACTGTTCCATGGATCACTGCTGAAGTCCTATTTACGCAAAGACTAACTGTTGATGCTTATGTTAAGCGTAAGTTACCATCAGTGAGTCATGTTTATTTTCAGTTTTAAAAATGTGTAATATTGTAGCAGTGTTCATCTTGTTGTTAGGTGGAATGTAGTGAACTTTTAGTTTTTTCAACAAAAAGCTTCAAAATAGAGTACACATAATAAATATTTGTTTAATTCTAAAGATGTTAAAGGTATAGTTCACATAAAAACTGAAAATTTACTCACGTTTTACTCTCCCTCAAGTGGTTCCAAGCATTTTTGAGTTTCTTTCTACTGTCGAACACAAAAGAAGATATTTTGAAGACAGCTGAGAACCTGTAACCATTGACATTACATTGAAAAACAAATATCATGGAAATAAATGGTTACAGGTTTCCAGCATTTTTCAAAAAATCTTATTTTGTGTTTAGCAGAAGAAAGAAACTCTTCTTGAAAGGCTTCAAACAAGTAAAGGGTGAGTAAATGATCATTTTTTGGGTGAATATCCCTTTAAATATCCCAGAAACAGATTATTTATTTATTTATTTATTTATTTATTTATTCATTTATTTATTTATTTATTATTATTTAATTTTTTTATTTTTTACATGCGCAATACTTATAACATGGAAGTCCATCAGGGCCAAAAGAGTTTAAAATATGTGAAAGTTGAATATCTAAATGTCAATCACAACAGTCCATGACACTGTATTTCAAATTTGAAGGATGTTGTAGTTGTAATGGCATGCATATATGCAATCATTAGACGTATTACCTTTTGTAAAAAAAAAAAAAAAAAAAAAATCATCATCAACCTGTGTGTCTACATGTACTAAAGAAACCAAAATATCTATTGTCAAACTGCGGGTGACGCGGTAGCGCAATGGGTAGCACGATCGCCTCACTGCAAGAAGTTCGCTGGGCCTTGGCTGGGTCAGTTGGTATTTCTTTGTGGAGTTTGCATGTTCTCCCCGTGTTCGCGTGGGTTGCCTTCGAGTGCTCCGGTTTCCCCCACAAGTCCAAAGACGTGCTATACATAGGTGAATTGGGTAAGCTAAAATTGACAGTGGTGTACGAGTGTGAATAAGTATGTACAGATGTTTTCCAGGGATAGGATGCAGCTGGAAGGGCATCCGCTGCATAAAACATTTGCTGGATAAGTTAGTGGTTCATTCCGCTGTGGCGACCACGCATTAATAAAGGGACTAGGCCGAAAAGAAAATGAATGAATGAATGAATGAATGAATAGTTAAACTGCACTGTAAAAGTTATTAGTTATTTAACTTTAAAACATGAGTATACCAGTTGTAACTCTGTTAAGTTGGCTTAACTTAATTTTTATAATTATGCAAGTTAATTTACTTAATTTTAAGGTAACATGTTTCCTCACTTTTTAAACTAAAGTCAAATAATTGTATTTTACAGTGGCTGGGTGTTGACATTTCATACATTTAAGGTCATTTTCATTTTTCTTGTACTGTATGTGAGTCAGCGCACAGAGTGTGTGATGTGAATTCCATAGTCAGAATATTTTGAGCGCACTGTACATGATCCAGCCTATTTTTGTAATTGCACAGCGTTTTTACATGCAGTTTGAACTTGTGCTTTTCTGTTCTCTCTTTTTTTAGCAGTTATTTAATTCAGGGATGGGCAACTTCAGTCCTGGAGGGCCGTTGTCCTGCAGTGTTTAGCTCCAACCCTTATCAAACACATCTGGCTGTAGCTTTCTAGTGATCTTAAAGACATTGGCTGTTTCTCAATATGCATTCTTGCATCCAATATTAGCCTGTTTAGGTGTATTTGATTAGTGTGGGAGGAAAACTCTGCAGGACATTGGCCCTTCAGGCCCAAAGTGGCCCATTGTTTACACCCTCGTCTTGCGGATAGTCCCAGGGTAGTCCAAAAATACAGAATAAAGTCTGGGTTACTTGCGGATGTCCATAAAGAAGAGAGAGGTTATAAATGGTGAAAAAGTATGCAAATACCTCTACTTCCTAAATATAAGATCTCTGTATACAGTGTGTTCAAGTCAAATAAAGTATAATTTAAAGGTTTGTGAATTCCACTGTCCATGTGTGTGTAAAGAAATGAAATACACTTTGGTCTTTTCAGGGCTTTAAACTAACTTTTTGCAAATCTTTTCTAAGGTGCACCAGTACAAAAGTTAGGTGCACCCATTTTTTTTAACTGCATAGCATTTAACACGGTAAAAAAAAAATGCTATCCATATAGGCAATATCGACTTATAAATGATTAACTAACAATCTGGTCAACGAAGTTCTTTATTTAAAGCACAATTCTACAAGAAAGGGACTACCACCCCTCAATATTGCTTATTGGTTTAAACTAGTGATGCTCATATTGATCCAAAATTTGGTCACCAAACTTTTTTAGACTACGTTACATTCTCTAATTTGTTGCTGAAATGCAAGATCTACCCATTTAAAAAATGACAGCAAAATAAAGCTGTATTTTTCATTTGCATTTACAGCTTAATTCATTTATTTTTTTCAGCTTAGTCCCTGTAATAATCTCGGGTTGCCACAGCGGAATGAACCGTCAACTTATCCAGCATATGTTTTACGCAGCGGATGCCCTTCCAGCTGCAACCCATCACTGGGAAATATCATCACTCATTTACAAACATACACTACGGACAATTCAATCTTACCCAATTCACCTAGCGTCTTTGGACTTGTGCTTGGAGAACACCCACGCGGACATGGGGAGAACATGCAAATTCCACATAGAAACGCCAACTGATCCAACCGAGGCTCAAACCAGCGACCTTCTTGCTGTGAGGTGAGTGTGCTACTTTGTGCCAATGTGCAGGTCCATATTCGATACGAATATACTGAAAATATGGATTCAGTACTGTATATAAAATCAATAAAGGCATAACTGTAAAAAACAAAGCTTGTGCATCATAGAGAATAACATTTAGACAATTTTACAGTTGATTTGAATATTTTATTTCAAACGGTGCGAAAGTTTAATTCATT